TGGGCTCCTGCACTGCCGCTCGGGGTTTCTGCCTTCTACGGTGGTACCGGGTACCACTTTCTCGAGCGAATTGCTCTGGGGAACCTGTTGTGTGAGTTGCTGGCTTTTTGGCTAGACTTTGAGGAGGGTTTATACACGCATATCGGCGGAAATAGACGACACGCCATTTCTTTAAATAAAATTAATTGGTGCTCGTTTGTATGTACATACATATGTAAATGCATGTGTGTGCACCTTTCTATTAATATCGTTGAATTATTTTAATATCTATTGCAAAATTTTATTCAGACAGGACTAAAAAGTAGAAAATAAATAATATAAAAAAAAACTTTTTAATATACAACGCTTTTATAAATGGACTAAAAAGTAGAAAATAATATTTCTCAGTCCCATAGAATTTGTTTTGATAACTTTTGATTTTGAAATTTTAGCAAAAGTCATTATAAACAATCTATGAAATTGAAAATGAAAAGCGTGGGGCGCATGTAATACACTTGAATTGATATGAAAAGTAATATATGTATGTATGTATGTGGGTATATGAATAACGACCGCTTAAAATCGATTTCAAAGTTCTACTTTCGCTGTAGAAATTTTAGGTCTACGTTATGTAGTTTGACTATTGTCAATTAAATCGAATGCTTTGTATTGCATGCGCTCCACGTTTTTCATTTTCAATTTCATAGATTGTTTATAATGACTTTTGCTAAAATTTCAAAATCAAAAGTTATCAAAACAAATTCTATGGGACTGAGAAGTATTATTTTCTACTTTTTAGTCCATTTATAAAAGCGTTGTATATTAAAAAGTTTTTTTTATATTATTTATTTATTAATATAAAGCACACGCACATGTGTGTGCTTTGCGTAGAGAAACTTATACACTTCGAATTCTAAAGGTCTGATTATGCATACTTCGCATAACTTCGCACAACCTTTTGTACCAGTGCAATAAAAATGCAACTTAAGAAAACGTGAAGCAAAATCTAAACTCAACAGATTTCTAAGTTTTTGAATGTTCTGCTAATTTCTGGGTAATGAAATACAAACAAAATATGTGCGAAGTACATACGAAATTGCAGTCTGAAGTTTATGCGAAGTTGTGCGAAGTTATGTGAAGTGTGCATAATCGGACCATAACTCAAATCTTAAAATAATTTTTTAATATGTTTCCTGTCATATAAAAAATAAACAACATCTCACTTTTTATTGAATTGTCTTTTAAAAAATAACGTTTAATAAAAAAATTCTTTTAAAAATATAGATATTATGTACATGTGCATGGGCTGAAATTTGTACAAAAATCGGCTCACACACATGTGCATGTGCTTAATAACAAACAGCACACACTTTTCTGTGAGCAGAGTTTGTTTTCCACTTATGCACACACATATGTATGAGCAGTGAGTGCAAGTTGAATGTGTTTCTGGCGTGTGTGTGAGCAGAACATGTGTGTGCAAATACGAACCCTGCTAGCAACATTATTTGTAGTGTCGGGTCGATACCAAAAGCAGTCGGAACTCGGTTTTCAATAGGATCGACAGTACCCTATTTAAAAAATATCGATACTGAGTACTCCAAAGTACTCAGTACTCACAAAATAACTTGAAAGTAATACAAATTTAAAAGAACTCGTAAGTACTCAGTACTGAAAAATACTCTGTTCCAAACATCAGCTTTATACATGTGCTCAAGATCGATTCACAGTACTCAGTATTATGTGCCGAATAGATACTTACAGCTACTGAGTTCTATTTACATTTAACGGCTTTCAGAAATGATTGTACGCAATTTCAGTTAGCAATTCATCTGACATAATTTGGGATAAGTATATAACTTGAATAAAGTACTGCCAGCTTGTAAGATTTTTACACTAACCATTGCAATGTTACCGACATGTGTATATTTAAAGAATGTACTCAGTACTCTCAAAAATACACGATCCTTAAAAGTATCGATACCATAGTACTCGACCTTCAAAAGTTCTCGATTCTTCCCAACACTAATTATTTCTTTGTTTATGGGGTCATGTAAGGCCAAAAGCTATCAGTTTTGTCAACCCTTGACCTACCATAATATTCTACATACAGTCATACATATTACATAAAGTAAACAATATTCACTACTCTACGAATTCACATGCTCCCTTTAAGGCAACTCCCCTACAATTTTACCATTTTTATTTCATTGTACTTCTTGGTTTTTTTATGGTTATGTAAGGCTTTCAACTTTAGTTGCTTAATAAGCTCAGCTATTGTATAAGCCTCTGTTGCGAAATTTGCATTGATTTGACTTCACTAAGCTTGTAGAAGTTTAAAAGCTGGCTGCACCATGAGCTAGTCATTTACTGGTGGTATAAAGGTGTTCCATTGATTCATTCTCTTCACTACAAAATCTGCAAATATCTGTAGCCAAGCCAGTTAGTGCTCCACATAGCGTCCTTAGGTTGAACTCTTTTGTCACTGATGCAAGAAACTTCTTTGAGTAATGATGGTGTCTTTCTGGACTGGTCTAATGGCTAGTAGTGAAATTTTGTCCACTTTTTAAGACCCTTTTTCATGTCATTGTTGTTCAAAGCAAGGAATCGGCTGAATCCAATGAATGTCCCCTTTTTAGCTTGGAGCTCTGCTTTATCATTACCATCATAGCCTTCATGATCAGGCACCCAGATTAGGGAGACTATGATGAGTATACATAGGAGACTATCAACAGCTTTTAAACAGAAAGTATAGAGATCTTTTTTCTGGCACATTGCCGGTGTCCGACAAGGTTGCCTTGATTGAATTTGCAGGCTGTGTTGTTTTCATTTAATCTTACACTTGCAAGATTTTTGAGTGAATATTATGGGTTTGACCAGTTCAGGTCATTTTGGGATTCAGACACCATGTTTGAAATATGACTCCAAGGTGAGTTTTCTATCCGGGGTTATGCCTGGATATTTAGCTTCTTCCTTTAAGGGAATCACAGACCCACTAATATTTAGATCTGGAAAACAAAGCTTCCATTTTCTGGTGAAAAGGATGATTGTAGTTTTGTTGGGATTTATATTCTATTGAGATATTTAGGACTTCTTGCTTGGGCCGCAGTTTAAAAAAGCGGATAGAAGGCGACTTGAAGAGGTATCAAATCAATCATTCGGCATTCCGCTAATGGAGGCCCGGTTAATCCGAGTTCAGCTGTACGCCTGAGCTTATATGGCAATCATAAGACTTCGTCAGTTTCACTTAGATTTCCTCAAGTTATCTATGGTTCACTGATCATTTTCTTATTCTATTTAAACTTATATATAAGAACGGCAAATCTAAAACTATACTGAATTTTATTTTTCAGAATCGTGAGGTG